TTTTTTTTTTCTTTTTTGAATTGAGAAAAATATTTATTATTTCTATTTTCCTCATATAATGTTGGATTTCCTTACTAGGCATTATTGCAGTGGTAGGTAATTTAACTTATTCATTGTTCTTTCGGTTGTAGTTTATCTTTTCTGGATTTTCCTTATTGAGGCTCTAGGCAACATTTTTAGTGTGCCTCCCACTTTTTTATTTCCGGTATAGTTTAGTATGACACTCTTTGTATTCGAACATTGATCGTTGTTTAGTTTTAATGATAGTTCCCCTATCGTTTTGAAAAAAAAAATATAAATGTATTTTGAATCTATAAATCTATAACCTTTTCTATTATAAAACTATGTTTATTTTTATGTACATTAAACTTTTTATCGGCTTATAATTCATTTGTACCTACAAATTCCGAAAAAAAAACTATACCTTTGAAGTGCACCGAAAATTTCAAAGCCATCTCATGTCACTTGCAAGAAAAAAAAATCATAAATATGTTTTATATTATTTTTCTTCACAAATTTCTGTTTGAATATGTGTGTTTTTATTATATTGGCGCTGAACGATTTATATACACATATAAACGATGGTCTGAACAAAAGGGAGATGTACCTCAACGTTTATATTTAAGATTATCTTCTAAGAAATACGGGGTTAGATTTCCCGTATCTCTATACATAATTTTTTATCCATTTATTTATTTATTTATTTAATTTGAAGCGAGTCATTTGAGAAAAAATATCCAAGCAATCTGAGATATCATGAATATTTATATAATATATGGATTAGTTTGATGAAAACATATTACAAGGTGATACGGTTAGTAAGGAATTTAAGATAATTGAAAAATTATTATTACCTTTTTCAAGATATATGTATTTTGAATCCATAAATCTATAAACTTTTTTATTATAAAACTATGTTTATTTTTATGTACATTAAACTTTTTATCGGCTTATAATTCATTTGTACATACAAATTCAAAAAAAAAAATAAAAAATAATGACTTTGAGAAAGATCAAAGTGAACCGACAATTTAAAAGCCATCTCTTGTCACTTGCAAAAAAAAAAAAAAAAAAAAAAAA